AGAGAGAGAAACACGGGGTGGGGGGCAATGTGCAAGAGAGAGAGAAAGAGGGAATGTTTAGGCATTAATTAGAGCTCAAGGCTTTACCATCTCTGTCAGTCAAAGCAGTTTTGCCCTTACACATCATATGAATCTAATTAATAAAAAAATCTAACTAAATATTTTAAAGTTTGAAATTCAAGCCTTAAGGCAAGGCTAGAAAACTGGAGGACAATCAATCTCATTTACCAGACAATCTTATATTCCAATGTGAACGTGTTTGTAAGCCCACATTTCTAGTGGTCTGTTCTACAGAATGAATACAAGTTCCATGGAACACTTGTCAAAAGACAGTTCTTTGAGTGGTCAGTGCCAGTTGCTGGGCACCATCTACTTCGTCTGGTCTCAGAGCAATGGAAGTTGAGGTCCACATGGCCCATTAATCTTTTGGACTAATTGTTTCGGTACATCTTTGCTTTTCTGCCCTCTTCTTAGTTATGGACAAGCCCACCAATTGTTGGACCTGGGATGGCTGAACACAGGAAAGGGTTGAAAGAAGGATGAAAGGAAATAAAGTGGAAGTGGAAAAAGTACAATTGCATCATGGGAATTATAATTAATATTATGGAACAAAATGTATTCCATAATATAAGGAATGGTTGAATATAGTTTATAGTATGAATTTGTGGATGGAAAACCAATTTGCCTTCTAAATATTTTCTCAGATTGTTGTTATGTGCTGTCGAGTCACCTGTGACTCATAAGGATACCATTTAACACAGCTCTGAAGCCTGCCCTATCCTGAGTCAGTCTCACTGACTCCAACACACCAACCCCTATTGCCCTAGTTACTGTATCAACCCTTCTCATCTGGAGTCTTCCTCTCCTGTGCTATCCTTCCACCCTTCCAAGCATGATGTCCTTCACTGATTAAAAAAAGAATCTACACACTCACATGCATACATACATGTGCTCACCACAGGGGTCCTCTGGGCCAGTAGTTACAGGAAACAATGAGAACATTGTATCACCTTTGTAAGCAATAAGAATGTGCAGTAGCCCAGTAAAGGCAGGGAGACGTCCTGCAGGAATATCTTCACCTTCTCTAAGTCCAACATTTCCCAATAGTAACAAATCACAGAATCGCTTTGTCCTGTACCTATCACTGCTATGATGGTCTTGTCCTCCCGGACAGCTGGGGGCCTGGTTTCTTGGAGCAGCAGCCTGGCTCCCTATGGGGATGGGACTGGCATGGGAGGGGGTCAGCAAGTGCATGACCAGAGGCCCTTCTCTCCTCAGAAAGGCTACCACGAGATCCGAGAGCTCCGTCTCTTCCACTTCACCAGCTGGCCTGACCATGGTGTCCCCTGCTATGCCACTGGTCTCCTGGGCTTTGTCCGGCAGGTCAAGTTCCTCAACCCTCCTGAAGCTGGGCCCATAGTGGTCCACTGCAGGTAAGCCTAAGCTCCCTCCTCGCCACCCTTGCAGCTCTGCTCTCTCTCAGAAGGATAGAGGGAAAGGATAGACTGCCTGGTCATGACCTTCATTCTCTGCCTTAAAGGCTCTCGAGCCTGGGACCCCTGTGTCCACCCTTTCCTGATGAGATTGAGGCCTCAAGATCTAACAACACTAATACTGTCAGCAATCGGTATCTACACCAAGGAACAGGCTCGAGAACCCCACAGAAAGCCCTCAGGCCTTTAAGAGATGCAGGTGCTGGCAGCGGGAGGTGGAGCCTGGGCAAGCTGGGTACCTGCCATCCTCAGGAAGGCCAAAGCTGCCCCTCCCCGTCACCGTCCAAAATACACTTCACCAAGCCCTAGTGGCACATCTGGCTGATAACCCAAAGGTTGGCAGTTCCAATCCACCTGTGGTTCCATGAGAGAAAGATGGACAGTCTCCTCCCGTGAATATTTACATGTGGCTTCAGAAACTCGCTTGAAAGTTACCGAGTCAGAACTGACCCCACACCACTGGCCATACGGTGGTGATGCAACTCTTCCGCAAGGGAAATACTGCTCTCATCATGGACTTTATTCTTTGCTTTAATGAGGTTCCCATGCCTGTATTCCCTATGACCATGCAGTCTGCTGAGACCAAGAGCCCAGCATATAAAAGCAACATTATCATTAATAGTAGCAGTCAGTATCATCATTGTTATTGCCCTGAGATGGTAAATACACATACCACAGGCTAGGTACTGACAGTACCTGCCTCGTGGAGGTCCCATTATATAAATCTATACATATATTCACATTGTATCATTTACTGCTCATCCACTCTTTATTCCCACTATACAGGCTTTGTCCCATTGTACAGGTGAGAAAACTGAGACCCTGAGAAAGGACACACTCTGCAAGGTCAATCCATGGCAGAGCCATGCTCTTTCATATGCTTTCCTCTAGACACCGACCCTGAGTTCCTTGACAGGGAAGCAGGTGCCTCAGTTAGATGATGCTTCTCTTCATTTTTATTCTTCTAAAAATTAATTGCTGGTCTGTAGGGTCCTTTATAGAGAGTACGTGGGCAGCATGAGGTTTCACTTTATTATGGAGATATTTTCAGCTCTGACCTAGAAAGTCACACTGGGGATGAGTGGCACGTCTTTGAATCCTCCTAAATGGAGATGAAGTAGCATGTTGAGGGCATGACACTTGAGAGGAGAGTGGACCTCCAGGCCCAGAAGGTTCTCCCGTCTTCCCAATGCCTCTCATTTCCAGTGTGACCTTGGGTTGGCCCTAGTTCCAGACCCCATCTACACAAGTGATCTTCTGCCTGTCCATCAACCAAGGGAACAGGAGAGATTCCAAGAAACTGCAGGTGCCTAGGAGCCAGACATCTTTCCACACAGCCTCTCGCTTATCCTCCCATAACAGAGAGGTGAGAATCCAAATCCCCATTTCACAAATGAGACAGGTGGGGATTAAGACCTAACAGTTATCAGGTCTCTCGGGCTCTCCAGATATTTCCCACATAACTTCTGCTTTACATCCCCAAAAAACCTAAGAGCAACAGAATGTTGGACTCCAGGCCATATATTTCCAAAGGGCAGCCAGAGACTGGGCAAGAGAAACAATGGCAAACATCTGCCAGTCCCCGCGCTCTGCCAGGCACTGCACATGATAACCTCACCTCTGAATCTCCCACTTAATACCCCTAGGAGAGACGGCGCCCACTTAATACCCCTAGGAGAGACGGTGCCCACTCTTGGGGACATTCTTAAGATTAAGGGAGTTGGCTGGCATGTACCGTCTAAGAGAATTCCTGATACATAGTAAATACTTTAAAACACCATCATTTGCTGTCCTGAAATGTCCCACTGCTCCCTAGATTGTTGCTCCATCAACACGAGGGACCATGACTCACTCGTCCTCATATTCCCACTCCCAGCCCTAATGTCTGACGCATAATAAGTGCTCAATAAATATTTATAGAATATATGTAGCAACCACTTATTGAGAATTTTCTGTCTCCAGGCACCAACGGGCTAAGCAATTTGAGTACATTATGCTTTTAAAACATAACTTTGTGAAATTCCCCATGTGTTTTACCATTAAAAGCCACAAAGTCTATTATCAGCTTCGTTTTATAGCGAAAGGTATCGAAATCCAGAAAGCTTAAGTCATTCGGCCAAGATGAACTGTTGGTGGTATTACCTGGGTTTGATCCCAGAACATTTGACCCTAGAACGTCATGGGCTTAATTAGTATGTTGTTATGTGCCATCGAGTCAGAACTGAATCATAACTGGCCCTCCAGATGCTGTAAATTACATGGGAGGAGAATGCCCATCTTTCTTATGCAGTGCTGCTAGTGGATTCGAACTCTGTGCCTTTGGGGTGACAGTACAGCTCCTTACCACTAGGCCACCAGGGCTACTATACCGTACTGAAATTTAATATTGTATAATTTGGTCCTTACACAAAGGGAGATCTGTTTAAACAGATTCCTAGATGCTAAACAACGTGTTCATTGGTGGCAGGTCCAAGACTCAAAACCAAGTCCAGCTAATTCTTTCCCCTCAGATGTGTAAGTGGTGAGACTTGGGAGAAAGGATGGATGAATACGTAGTTAGCTGTTCTCCTTGCTAGTCAATAAGTCCTTCTTAAAGGGTCCGGTTCATGGTGAAGAGGAGACTTCTTGAGACAAACAAGAAACTTGCTTGATTCATGTCTTCACTCATTTCATACCAGGAAATTTTACTTTGAATGAAGACATTGCTTTCTTCTGATTTATATGCCAGGTCACTGTGGATGGATTTCCTGTCTGGGTTATAGTGGTTAACTCACCACACATTTTCCAGAACGTAGTAGAGTGAGTTCTGTGGGTTTTCTGTCCTGAACATTGTCAATAGATTTCCATGAATTTACTTTCTAGAATTTACGGATTGGTTCCATGAGTTTAGCTTTCAGATCATCATGTGTGGCCTTCATGGTCATCTTTTAGGTCGGAAGGAATGTGTTTCTTTGGGTTTATTATTTACTTTCCAAACCATTGTGGATGGTTCTCCAGGAGTTTACTTTCCAGATAATAGAGGTCAGGCCTCCATGGCTTTATATTCCGGACCACTGTAAGTCCTGTAATACTTGGAATCACAGTCAGCCAATATGGATTTTTCCCTTCCTATTCCGTCACTCATCTCCTCTTCATTTCCTTCGATTTCCACATTGTCAGACACAGACACTTGTTTCTGGGAGGAAAATAAGATGTGAAAACGCAACCAAAACGTGTCTTCTTGACAGGCTGCCTGGTCTTCGCTTCCAAAACTGCGAAGGCAAATGTTCTACTTGTCTCTGGTTCAGCACTGTGATTTTAGAACCCGGCACTAATCTTGGAGGACCTGGACGTGGTCCAAGGAATCTCGTTGAGTCTTTTGCTATTTTGTACTTAGTCTGAACTTCTTCAAAAGGAAACCAGCATTGATCGGAAATAGCTGTGTAGGGAGAATTGCTACCTGCCAAGACTCGGAGGACTTTTAAATGGTCCAGTCTGATGACGGTCCTGGATCATGATCCCAGGGAAACAGGTGCAGGCTGAGCCAATCCCAGGCCTTTGCACACGCTGCTCCAGAATTCTCTCTCTATAGGTCAATGAGTCGCTTGGCTTCTGTGAGCCTCACTTTTCTCTGTTCCTCGGAGCCTTGGCTTATTCACTTTAAAATGAGTCTATCTCTTAGTTCTAGGGAAGACTGGGTTCCCAGGCAACCAGAACAGAGGTGGCTCTGGCGACTCCGATTTCTACCTATCTCTCTATACTCCCTTCTCACCTGTTCTACTGGAACTTCATTCATCAAACCATTTTCTGAAGAAGAAAAAAGAGAGGAAGGGAAGTAAAGTGGGTGGAAGAAAAAGCATGATTATGAAGAATCTACAGTGTGCCAGATACCATGCTATTGTGCTATATAGATAACATTGTTGTTGTTGTGTGCCATTGAGTCAGAACCAACCCATAGCTGACACTTCAGTGAGTTTTCAGAGGCAGTTCAGTTAATTGCACAGGAGAAGACTGCCTATCTTTCTCTTGAAGAGCAGCTGATGGATTTGAATAGTCTGCCTCTGGGATTGCAGTACAGCTTCTAACCACTATATGCTTTATACTATATAGATAGATGATAGATAGATAGAATCTATAGATTACTTTTACCTCTTATATACTATATACATTATCCATCAACAGAGGAAAATGCTTGCACAAATATTGTCTAAGCGTGCATGCAGTATGTGCTACATTTATTACAGAGGAAATAAACAATAATAAACAAAGTAGACTCTATCTGTAAAAGTTCCAGCTCCACAATTTACCAGCTAGGTGAACTCAAGCAAAATAAGGTCTCTGTGCCTCAATTCTTTTACCCGTAAAATAGGACAGGAGATCTCATAACCACCTCATGGAGTCGTTAAGAGAATAAAATTCAGTAATACTTATAAAGCCTACAGACTCATGCCTGGCACATTATACACGCAAACTAAATATTTGTTCAAGTTTAAAAAAAATAAGCCTGGATCCAAAGGACTCCCAAGAGGAAGGATTACTCTCTTCCCCAGGTTTGCCGTTCTGAGGTCTCCTAACACTGACCACATTTTCTTTCAGCGCTGGGGCTGGGAGGACTGGCTGCTTCATCGCCATTGACACCATGCTTGACATGGCCGAGAACGAAGGGGTGGTGGATATCTTCAATTGTGTGCGTGAGCTCCGGGCCCAGAGGGTCAACTTGGTGCAGACAGAGGTATGTCCCAGCACTCTGAGCTGCCAAGCCACCTATGGTTCTGGCCAAGAAAAAAGCATAGGAGACACAAACCCATGGGGAGAGGCGGTGAATCTGAGGGTGCTTAGGTGACACCACTCGTATAGGCTAGGAGATCCTTGCCAATCATGGCAACATAAGATTCAGGGGCTTCCACCAATGGTGAGAGATGGTAAATTCCTCAAACCTGAAAGAATGGAGAAGAGACTGGGTGGCATCTTTTGAGGGTTCTTTGAATAGTGTTCCTAATTTGGATGATGAAGAAAAAAAATACAGAAAGGAAAAGACTGGAATTAATTGAGTGTCTACTTTGTGCCAAGAACCACGTCAGCCATCGCAGGCAAGATTCTATCTACAATGTTATAGCGTATCCATGTTTCAAACCCTAAAATAGGACTATAGATTCCTGGAAAGTAAAATGCTTATGGTTTAGATAGATACCCACAGCCCCTGCCCTCAAAGGAGAAGCAGATCTTTGGGAAATTTCTCACAAGTTAGAGAGTCAGGAGATGGAGGTGATAGGAGGACACTGGCTAAGCACTTTGCATAGAGAGACAGGGCAGTGTCAATCCGCAAGCTCTTACTAAGCTTCTGCAGTAAAAGCAACTCTGTCAGCGTGGTGGACTTAGAAAACCTTTCCTAAGGGAATGAAACACTGAAAGAGGCAGTGGTGTTGCAGGGAAAAGTGAATGGCACTTGCAAAGATCTGAGAAGAGAAAGGATACAACACACGTTTTGGGTTCTCCCAGAAGTAGATCTTGAGACACAGATTTGCATACAGGTGGTTTCCGTGTGAGATACTCCCAAGATATTTTGTTAGTGAGTGGAGAAGAGAGTTAGACAAAGGAAGGAAAGCAATGAAAAATGACGTATTTCACACTATAGGCAATTGGAGTTCCATCCTGATGGGGTAACTCCAGGAGATATTACGAAACAGATGTGCCCAAGTTATCTAATAGCAGAGAAAGCTGTTAATCCCCCAGTTCTCCATCTAGCATCACTCAAGGGCTACTGGCAGGGACCACTAACATTAGCCTTTGTTTCACTGATGGCCTACACACAAGCCAGGCGTACTCTTGGGTCTAGAAAGTAAGCCCTAAGCAAAACCTCTCGGGTATCTGCAGAAATCAGTCTTCAGTATGTAAAGGAGGAAGTCAGGGCTTGTAGCCAGGGCACCAAAAGTGTTTCGTCCCACATGTCCTGAAGTTCCTGTTACTATAACTGTGTGTTCAATCTTATCCAAGAGGCCAAACTCACTAGAGCTTTGAGAATTACTATGAAACCTGGACACTTAGCCCTGTGAATTACAGGACAGAAAGCAAGGGTTCTGTGATTATAAACCATGCCCAATCAAACACAGACAGGGGCTTAAATGTGAACAGCAAGCTCTCGGATCCATTTTCGTTTTTACCCAGAACCACATTCCCTCTTTGCTTGGCTTTGCAGGAGCAGTATGTCTTTGTGCACGATGCCATCCTAGAAGCTTGTCTCTGCGGTAACACTGCCATTCCTGTGTGCGAGTTCCGCTCCCTCTACTACAACATCAGCAGGCTGGACCCCCAGACCAACTCTAGCCAAATCAAAGATGAGTTTCAGGTATGAGCCAGTCCCAGACTCTGCCCCCCCACCCCCCAGGGCAGTGGCACCGAGAATGTTTTGGGATCTTCTTTGTGAGGGCTGACACGCCTCTGCGCTTTCAGCGTCTGAAGCTCTAGACAGCTGCAGAATGCATCCCAGAACATCAAATGCACAGCCACGAGCAACTATTAAACAATCACTTGGTGATTGCTGGCGTGTGTTTGTAACTATGACTGTGTGTTATTCAATTGTGGTCTTATTTCCATTCTAGTCTAGGCTGTGAAAATGGAAACAAGTTTATGCCCACAGGTGTGAATTGTATGCATCTCCAGCCCCTGAGGGACTTGGGGGTTTCTCAGTACTTCTGTTACAACTGGCGTGTGTCTGAGAGCCCCCTGCCCCCAACTCCAAATGTGGTCCAGCGGCATCAGTATCACCTGGGAGCTTGTTAGAAATGCAGAATCTTGGGCTCCATCAGAACGAGAATCTGAAATTTAACAAGCTCTCCAGGGAATTGGGATGCACACTGAATTTTGAGGGGCAGCCTCCTGAGCTGTGCTCAGCCATGGCCGATCCACACCTTGGGACTAAAATTTGGGCAACTCGGGCCCGAAAGACATAAATCACTAAGGGTGCAACCAAGCCACCATCTAGTTGTGTCCCTAGGTCAATGCCAAGTCTTGCCAGGGAAACAGGAGCTAAGAACAGGTTAAGAGGATGCTAGAAAATTGGGAAGCCAGGCCATGCGTGATGGGCCAGTGCTGAGCCCTGGTTACTTGGCTAATACCCAAGCCAGGCCATTACCTTGTTCTCGCTCACTCATTGCTGTTATGTTAGAACTGACTCCTAGCAGACCCTCCAGTGGGTTTTCAGGGCGGGACCTGCTCATCTTTCTCCTACAGAGCAGCTGATCGATTGGACTAGCTTTGTCTTCGAATTGGCAGTGTGATTCCCCAGTGGCTAGGCCGCCAGAGCTCCCCAGCCAACACCTTGTTACTGTCGCGTACTGCCAGGTCCCAACTCACAGCTGATCCTCCAGCAGCTTTTCAAAGACAGCAAATCACACAAGAGTCAACTCATCATTTTTCTCCCAAGGAGCAACTGGGAAATTCAAACTGTGTCCCTTTGGGTTGAGAGCACAGTGCCTTCCCACTAGGGAGCTCTGGGGGCCTTGTGGAAAGAGGATGCACTGTAATTCCAAAGGCTCTTGGTTCGAATCCACCAGCTGTTCTGCAGAAGAATGGGCAGTATTTTCCTTTGTGATTTACTGCCCCTGAAAACCTGCTGGAGTGTCAGCTATAGGTTGATTCTGACTTAATAGCCCACAACAACAACAACAGGCCACTAGAACTCCCTGGCCGGTAAAAGTAGTGCTGCTTTATTTTTTAAAAAAAGTTTTGATTTTTTTTTTTTT